ATGCTGAAATTCAACAAAATAGCTTATTAAATTTTAGCTGAAAATAGTCTYGCTATTGTTACTACATTCAACAACCTTTTGAATCCTTAATTCAACTCCCATCAACTTCCAAATTTTTTACACATCTGCTGCTGCTTAACTGAAACCAATTATTAATAAACACTGAAATACTACCAGACCAAGATATACTTAAGAAATGGCAGAAAACTTTTCATGTTTACTTAACAATTCTTTTGTCCTGATAAGACTTTTTCAGCCTTTWCTTTAATAGAATATTTCCAGGATCAATTCATTGGGAGAACTACATTCTGACATATGCTTGTCACATTCTCTGTGGTGTTATAACTCTTTAAAGTCTATCCCCAGTTTTTATCATTCTGGAGAACAGAAAAAGGTCAACASATGGACATTCTTTTTCCAGACCATGGAACTGACCAAAGTAGGGCTGCAATAAGAATTTCCTAAGAACCTTCATAAATTTTCCTGTGTTAGAGATAACTTACTGAAGAATGGTAGACATYTCAGCAGAAAATTATACAATACTGGAAAATACCTATCTTCAAGCAACTTCATAGTACTGAACAGGTCTGTGGGCCTTTTTGTGTTATGATAACTGAAAGACAACACTTGCTTAGGTAGAAACTTCTAATGTGGGACAGATAACTCATCTACCTGAACTTTTGAAGTATCCTGCCTGGTATTTTCGTGAAGACAAAGACATCCATCTGTCAGTTGTCCAGGATTTGTTATATACTGACTTAGTGCTATCCACACATGTCTCACAGCTCAATCTCTCCTACCCTGCAAGGAGAAATCATTTGATCCTCACATCCAGGGCAGACATGGATTTATCTGCATCAATTACTTTGCAGCAACTCTTTCTGTATTCACAACCACTATGAGAGGGGAATTCTGAAATCACACTACTGAAAGAGAACAAGCACTTCTTTTATCTAATAGAACAAACTCCTGTTACTGATTGGTCTCATTCACATCCAGGGAATGTAGAAATGGAGAAGGTGAACATTTCTTCTAGTATTTGTCAAAGTAGCCAACACCTGCATACAGTCCTGGCCTAACTGTGRGTTTATTCTTGGATCTTTGGATGCAAATGATATGCATCTACTGCTTCCCTTAGAGAGTCAATAACAAGACTTTTTTTGCTTTCTTTCTTTATATGTCACCATTTTAACTACCCCAACATAAACAAGGCATTGCCAAGCCCCAGGATGTCACTACTGTCATATTCTTATGGCCTGGAGTGCACCAATAGGCCCTGTAGTCCCCTYCCTCAGGTTTGGCTGCTTGTGGCCAACTTGGATCCATGCAACTGTGCAAATCAGGCTGCTGGAAGGACTGTGTCCCCGCCATTCTCTCAACAGCTGTGCCTAACAACATTAGGAGAGTTTATTTACAAAAAGCCACTGAGGGGTACAACTCCTGAGAAAAAGGAGCTTCTTCTCTAAGGAATTCATCAAGTTAAATTGTCAATTGATGTAGCACTCCTCACATAAAACTACKTAATAGTACTCTCTACAAGAGGTAATGTGGAAATGTATTTTAAAAAAAGATACCTGATAATTTGTAGAACTTGGTTATAATATTCAAATCTTGCTCATTAAATAGTCTGACATCATCTTCATTCTCCAATACTGTTCGCAGCACTACTAAAAAATTCTGGAGGTAGTATGGGTGACCAGGAGAGCTGGGCACWGAGAGGACCTCCTCTATTTTGTCTAGAATGTCCCCAGTGGAATCCTGAAATTCTACCTTTTCTACAGTTTCTAACAAAGTATTGCTCATGTCATTCCTAAAGTCTTCAAGAACTTCCACAGGAAGTACCTCTTCATCATCCTTGCTAAAGGAATTTTCTGTCCCACAGTTCACTTCTGTCTTTGAAGGAGTAACCTCAGTGTGAGGGTGTGTCTCAACTTCCAAAGTATTGGTCAGCTCTGCTGAAGAATGGATAGCTAGAGGTGTTTCAGATTTATCAGGAGTAAGTACCACACTTTCAGACCTGCCTTCTGCTTTGGKGGTCCTTGTACCAGACAGGAACCTTTTGTCATTACTGTTATCAGATGGTGAAGGTACCTGAACTATATTCACAAGGTCTTCTTGATTACATTTGTTTATTTCATTTTGAAATTCAGGTTCCCTCTTTGAAAAATTTTGCTCCTGGTGCTCTCTCTGAGAAGGCCGATTTTCTTTCTGAGAACTCTGCCCAGCATCAATCTCATCATCATCATCATCATCATGTGCTGCAGTACTTGTACAGGCACTGTGAACAGCCAGAGGTGAACAGTTGATCTCTTCATACACAACTCGTTTTCCTTCCTGGAGACGTCTTCTGGACAGTTTTGAAGACAAGCTTCCCAAAGAGATTATTTTAACTGYTTGAGCCTGTGATTCGTTGTTAAGAATAAAGGCTGAACTGTTACTGCTAAAGTAAGGACTAGTCTGTTGTGCTGGACTCCCTCCTTTCAATAAATTACTTTTGGAAGGACTTGTTTCAAGATTTGAGAGGTTTTTTGAAAAATATGAGCTGGAATTATTGCCCAGATTTGCAGATGGGGGACTCCTATTCCTACAAGAATTCAGTGAAGCATCAATGGCACCAATCTCACCACAGTTTCTCTGACATGTTTCATCAATGTGCTTATTGATTCCATATCTTGGCACCAATTGGCAACACATGGGACAGCTAATTTTGGCAGATGGGACATTGTTAAAAAAGGAAGTAATAGAGGAGGATGCTGAAGTTTCTTTAACTTCCACTTTTTTTGTTGTTTCTTTTTTCTTCTTCTTATTACTGAGTGACAAACTTATTTGGGATCTTTTGATTCCTGAAGACCTAGCTTCTGCCATTACAAAACTTCACAGCAATTACATGGCACAGACAACTCCATTCAGGCCATATTTCTTTATTCTGTAATACTTAAAAGACTTTTCTTGGCTTCTCATTTTCCATCTGACATGCCTTCAAGAAAAAAAAAAAAAATTGAATGAATGGTCTTCTAAGGTACCAGATGCAACCAAGACGAACAGAAGTGGAGTGGTCAAGCAATCCTTAACTTACAATGCTACTGTCCTTTAGCTGGACTTACCAGGCAAGGAAGCACACCACAGGCAAGCTTAGCACTGCAACTGCCTTTAAGTGGTTTAATAAATGGAAAATAAAGTTTGCATTTACATCAGCAAATGAATATGGAATTTAAATAGGCAAGTCCTCTAATTTTCACAGAATCTCAGAATAGTCGGGGTTGCAAGGCACCCCTCTGGAGACCATCCAGTCCAACTCTCCTGCTAAGGCAGGGTCACCTGGAGCAGTGACACAGAGAACACAAACAAATGGGTTTGGAATGTCCCCAGAGAGGGAGACTCCATGACCACCCTGGGCAGCTCTTCCAGTGCTCTGCCACCCTCAATATGAAGTTCTCTCTCATGCTGAGGTGAAACTTCTTGTGTTTTAGTTTATGGCCATTGCTCCTCGTCCTGTCGCTGGGAACATTTAATCATTATCGGATCATTATCTGAGGAGCTATTTTCCGTGCCGAGAGCCCGTTTCCAGAGCACATCCTGGGCCGCCCTGCAGCCCTCAGCCTCCCGGCCGCTGTGCCCGCCCGAGCCCGTGGTGCGGCCGGGCCGAGCTGAGCTGTGCAGGGCCGTGGCTCAGGCGCTGCTCGGGGTGCTCTGCCAGCGGGGCCCAGGTTCCCGAACCGCTCCCGGTGCCGCCATCCAGACATGCCCGCCCTTCGCCGGCCCGCCCTGGAGCACACCGCCCTTCCCCACGCCGGGATCCCGTCACCCGGCCGGAGCCCCCGGCTCGGCCCGGCCTTCAGCCCTTCCCCACGCACCGGTGC